AAAGTTATCATTGATGCACTGGAGGAACCTCGTTGATTGTGGGTGGCTGGCTGAGTAGTCCCTCCAGCAAACATCAGGGTAGTTAAAATCCCCCATGACAACCAGGACCTGTGATTGTGTGGCTGCTCTCAGCTGCCTGTAGAAGGAAGGTATTGCAAGGAATCTCTCAAGATCATCTAGTTTGAGCCTTCTGCTCAGACAAGGTCAGCTGGAGCCCAGGACAGTGTCCAGTTGGATTTTGAATGTCTCCATGGCTGGAGACTCCACAGACTCTCTGGGCAACCTGTTGCAGCGTTCAAATTACAAAGCCAAATAATAGAGGCTGGCGTAATTAGCACTTACCTTGTTACTGATGGTCCTTTGGTAGGAAAACCAAGTGTATCTTGAGTTACTAGCATGTTAAGGCACTTGAAACCGCCAATGGGGTTTTCAGAACCCATTTCACTATTGGGCTGGGCACAAGTAAACTTTCCCTCTATTCTATCCAAAAAAGTAAAGATGGCTTAAAGGTGATGTTCGAGAGGAAACGCAGCTTGCATTCTCTTTCAATTTATTGCAGCTAAAGCAGACCTGAAATAATTGTTTTGTTTCAACCCGTCATTTGTTTTGCTCTTCTTCCCCAAATATGTAGTGATTTCGGAAACATCTGGAAGGTAAAAACACTGAAAGGCTACAATTCCAAAATTTTTCTTTGATTGAAAATGTGCACAACTATCCTATATTGAGTTTGTCTTTTACAGCTTATCTCGCCCAGGAAATTACGATGTTTTGTAACAAACTCTAGTGTGCTTTTAATTATACATTGTCTACTTGTGATTCACTTGAAGGCACCGTTATCAGTGTAATTTTAGATGTAACAGTGTTCTGGGTGTGTTTTCTGGTCTTGCAGACTGCTTCTTGTTTAACTGCATCTTAACGTGGTCACGCTTTTTACTTGGTAGACAAACCCAGCAAAACCTTGAAATTGGTACTTGCTATCCAGCAGCTTGCACTGAAGAGAGCATATCATCGTGTTACACAAGGCATAACAGTATTTCAGGCCAGGCTGGATGAGGCTTTGAGCAACCTGGTCTAGTGGAAGGTGTCCCTGCTGATGGCAGGGGGGTTGGAACTAGATGATCTTTAAGGTCCCTTCCAATCCAAACCATTCTATTCTGTGCTGGGACAGACTCTTATCTGAACATTGCTAAGGACTGGACCAACTACCCTGAGAGTCCCAAAATTTCCTACAGACAGGAGGCTGTAGGAGGCTAAGTGAAAGCTTATTTCACTTTCATAACTAGGAACAATATTTCAAAAGATCCTTAGTGAAGCTACGGAAAAGCACCATCTGTCCTGAGCAGAAAAAGCAATGTTGTGTTGTTCAATTAGTATGTTAGCTAAACTTGATATAAATCTGTTTTCCTTAACATTCGAATCAAAAGCTGAGAATATATTTATTTGAGACTTTGAAAAAAGTTTATTCTTTTATTTGAAATAAAAAGTATTTCCTTTAAAAATGTCTTTCCTCATATAGGTTATAGATAACGTCAAAAGCATGTCAATCATAAAGTTCAGAGAAGGTGTGGAGTAATGAGGACAAAAATAATTCTAAGTTTTTCTTTAAAGAAGAGTAAGTTCTGAATTTGATTATCAAGTAAGAACACTGAAGTAATTAGATTAGAGCTTTATGCAAGGCTGGTTTTTCTGGAGAAGAGTTTATATAAGAAAATGGAAGAAGAAAGGGAAAATTTAACTATTATACTTAGAACAAAGGTCTGAATAAGTCTTTAAATTTGAAATAAGCTAATAATTCTTGCTAGCTAATATTTACAGTTTTATGTATTCAAGAGTTTAACAGCCACACTGGTTTTCTAAAACTATTACAGAATCGTTCAGATTTTCAGTGCCAGCATCGATGGCAGAAGGTACTAAACCCAGAACTGATTAAGGGTCCCTGGACTAAAGAAGAAGACCAGAGGGTAATGAAAACTAATTGATTCTGTACTCTTTTACTGTAATAAAATGGACACGACTGCTAAGATGGTGTACTTTTTCTGAAGTTTCATCTCCACAAAGATGATGTCTGATGTGTCTCGTGACATAGATAGTTACATTACATTATGTGGTGTAAAAAGAAAAAAAAATGCAGCTACTCTTAAGTAGCTGAAATGTCTGGTCTGCTCAAGTGTTTCATTTCCCTTTGCTCAGGTTGCTAGCTGAACCAAGCTTATAGCTTGCATAGCTTACCAAGTAGAGGAGATCTCTTTACAGCACTAAAGATCAAAGGTCTTATTTACATATGTTGTTTCTCAAACCCACCAGACTTAAAGGGGTTGGGAATAAGGGAAACTATTTCATACTCTACTGTTAAAAGAAGCTAGCAATGGTATTTGACTCCTTTTTCCCATCTCTGTTAGTCCACACTGCAGCTTTTTGCCTGCAAAACCCGGACTGCCCTGTAGGGAGACACACATAGAGCTTTCACAGATGGTATTTCAAATTGACTGCTTATTCCCACTGTTTAAAACTGTTTTAAGATGTTTAAAACTAGTATTTGTCAACCTGTGAATGTGATCTTCTCAATCTATTCTTTTACAGTTCTCATCAGTCTTTTAAGAAAAAGCTTCTAATATGTAAAACCACATAAAATGGGATGATGGTTGGGAGTAGAGGTGTGGGTTTTTTTCCAAATGTATGTTGTTGAAAAAATTTAAACCAAGCATCTTTACCATCTTCTTTTTTTGGTCTTTCCTAATGTCAGCTTATGCAGTGTGTGACAGAAAGGAAACTTACAAATGAATGTTTTAATCAGTATGCACTTATATTCTAAATAGAGTTAATTTGGAGTTAATAAGCAATTTTTTGATTTCTTGAAAAGTAATTTTTAAACCCTCAAGTCATTGTATGCCTCCTTAGGCCTAGTATCTTATCAAGTTGACTATTATAATCCTGTTCTAAAATGTGGGCTTATCAGTGTTCTCAGCCTTTGATTAGGAAAATTAGCTTTGCAATTATGCTTTTCTCTGTGTTCCAGGTGATTGAATTAGTTCAGAAGTATGGTCCAAAGCGCTGGTCTCTGATCGCGAAACACCTGAAAGGAAGAATAGGCAAGCAATGCAGAGAGAGATGGCATAACCATCTCAATCCTGAGGTAAAAAAGTCTTCATGGACAGAAGAGGAGGACAGAATAATCTATGAAGCTCACAAGCGTTTGGGAAACCGATGGGCTGAAATAGCAAAACTTCTTCCTGGAAGGTGCTTTTCAACTCTGTTTGTGTTAAATATTGGAATATGGAATGCAGTCATCACACTACTCTTTCCATTCTTAAGTTGCAACGTCTCTATCTTGATAGATACTGATTTTTAAAATGTTTTGCATTTGATGATGTATTTTTAAAAAACCATAAAACCAATAAAAAGACCTCTAACACTCTGCAGATTCCTTCAAAAATCCTCCTGTTCACTTAGTAAAGACTGTAGTAGAGCTGAAGAGTAACTGCAAATAATAATAGAAGAATGCCTTAACATCCTGTGACTTGTCAAGCTGCCTTCATTAATACACATTTGGGAGTGACTTTCTTTTTGATTTAAGATAAGATTTTTTTTTTTTTTTGGTAGGACACTTCTAGTTAAATAGGACACCCGAAAAAGACAATCTTAGTAACCTTCAAAAGCCCAGGCTTAGGAGTCATGCATTGCAAAGCCTACCTGGTTACCATGTAGTCTCTAAGTTAAGAATTAATTGTGTGCATTGTTCTCCTTATCTTTGTTTCAAGTGTGATTGCCAGCTTATATGCTTGTGGAAACAAAAAATTTTAGTGTATAAAGAGTTTAATGAAATAATTTTTTTTTTTACCTTGTACTGTTAATTGAAATGCAATGTTGAGCTGTCCCTCTCTGAATTCAGTCTGTGTGTTCAGGAGGTGACCGTCTAGTGTGTTTAAGGAATGTCAGCACTTG